TATCAACCGATTTAGCATCATTCCCTAATACCCTGCGTCTAACCTCACTATTACTTACCCGGTGGTCCCAGCAGATGCGAGTAATATTTCTAAGGCACCTGTGGTCAAACACTAGTAACTTACGAATATCTTCTACTCTTAATGGCCATGTTTAGCAGCCGTATAATAGAACGGAACGAACTACCGCGCAGTATACTCATCCCTTAATTGATAGACGGATATCTCGCCTTCGCGATAGATGACGTAAGTTGGCAAAGGCCAAACGAGCTTTTCGAATCCGTGCTGAGATTTCGTCAGACACCAACCCATTAGGGCTGATCAGACTTCCAAGATAAGTGAAGTTGTCAACGCGTTCGATTACTTCACTCCCTATCCTTAGTTCAGGTGTTGACGCAGACCAGTCCTGAAGTAACAACTTGCATTTAGAGGGAGAGAAGCGCATCCCAAACATTCTGGCATTGTTGCTCAGTGCTACCGATAGACTATATTTTATCAGCGTCTTCACCAAACAGGACTATGTCATCTGCGTATTCTAAGTCAATAAGTGAACCTCCTGGTAGGAGATCAATACCCGAGAATTCAATCGATGAGAGCATTATTTCCATCAGTAGATCTATGATGAAGTCAAACAAAAATGGAGAAAATGGACAGCCTTGACGGACACCACTTGAGGTTGCAAAAGCAGATGACAGTTCGCCATAAGCTCTGACTCGACTAGTAGTGTTCGAGTAGAGAGCCTTCACAAGGTTTATGTACTTTTGAGGTACACCTTTCAATGACAGACACTGTCACAGAACCTCTCGGTCAACAGAGTCAAACGCTGCTTTTAAGTCAAGGAAGACCACTATTGTCGGACGCCGATAAGTATGAATGTGTTCTAGAACCTGACGAATGGTGGATATGTGGTTGATGCAGCCACGACCAGGTCTGAAGCCAGCCTGATTTTCACGTGTTTGCAGTTCACGAGTCTTAGTTAGGCGTCCGAAAATTATCGAGGTTAGTATTTTAGATACTATATTAGTTAAACTAATCCCTCTGTGGTTGTCACAGGATGATTTTGACCCTTACTAAAATATTGGGACGATAAGTGATTGTGACCAGTCAGATGGGATAACGTCTAACTCCCAGATTTTAGCTATAATATTAGTCAACCTAATCGCTAAAACTAGACCACCATCCTTAAAAAAATAAAAATAAAAAATAGTTAATCTGAAACGAGGAAGGGCAGCTGGTCCAGATGGATTGGTCCCAGAGGTCTTTAAGTTGTAGAGTAGCTGAAGGCCAACTGAACTGCTCCTTAAAATGTTCCGCCCATCGTTCTAAGAGTCTGGACTGGGAGCAGATGAGAGTGTCGTCTTTTTCTGAAATAGTCTGACTTACACTTGACTTATTAATTCCAGTTTCTTTTATTAGTCTGTAGAGTTGTCTTGTGTTCCCTATAGCCGCCGCCTTTTCCATCTCTTTTGCTTTCGTTGCCCATCACTGCTCACGGTCGTTCCTTAGACTTTTGCTTAACCTAGATCTGATTTCTTTACGCTCTTCATCGTGTTCAGAACCTGATGGGATGAGTTTAGGAGAATCCATCAGTTCAATAGACCTTGAAGAAATCCATTGGTTCTTTGTAACCCTGTGGTTTAAATCACTAGTAGATGTCACTGCTGTTTCCACAGCTGCTTGTATAACTTTCCAAGCAACATCTAGGTCAGCTTCGTTTTCAGAACTACCTAAGTGTGACCTCAGTTGTTCTTGGAACCTACTTTTGGTTTTCTCATTACTCAATTCGGTCCTAATGAGTCTTTTTTGTGTGGCTTTTTTGCGTCCAGTGAGGCGCAAGCAGATGCGTGCTCGTATTAGAGCATGGTCGGAGTCCAAGCAGATACTCCAGAATGAGCGACAATCTTCTATTGACCCTCTCCAACGATGACTGATGGCAATATGGTCTATTTGAGTCCATCGTTGGTTTGGTGCAGGGGGTCGCCATGTTAGACGATGTCTCTCCTTATGCTTAAAATTTGTGTTTGCTAAAAATAAACGATTGTCTGAGCACAGTTGCAGCAGACGATCACCATTATCTGTTCGCTGTGCTGGAATACTAAAATACCCATCTAAATGTCTTTCTGTTTTGTTTAAGCTACCTACCTGGGCATTAAAGTCGCCTCCTACGAGTACTATGTCTGAACGTTTAGCTTTCTGAAGAAGTTCAGAGAGCTTTCTGTAAAATTCATCTTTCACGTCATCCGAACTGCAGTCAGTGGGAGCGTAGGCAGAAACGACGAAAAGGCAACGGCGTGTGTCCCTATCCTTTCGAGTTCTTACCGAGCCATTTAGCCGAACAGCGCATAGACGGCTGTTAACGGGGATCCACTCTAATAGGGCTTTTTCCGCCCTCATGCTTAGTGCTATGCCTACACCTGCAAGTCCACGAGAACTAGCCATCGGGTCGCCAGATACACGGAGGGTGTATCTCGTCGGCACTCCGTTTTGCCGAGGTGAGGTCAAGTGAATGACCACACTAGGATCCTGTATGCGTGTTTCGGAGACACAGCATACATCAATGGTACGAGATTCTAAGGTTTTAGCCAAGGAAGCCTGCTGACCGATTTGGCATAGTGTGCGTACGTTGAAGGCTCCAATGTGTAGTTTGGAGCGAGGTTTCAGTAGACCTGGGACAGTGTTTTGAGCACTAGAATCGTTGGTTGTGGTGACACTTGAGGAGGAAGCTAAAAGAGGAAGTTTAGTGTATAAAGTCGATGTAGGAGGAATAATAGGAATTGAAGAGGTAGGCTGATTATGAATACAGTGGTCTTGAGTGTTGTTAGAGGTATGAGGGCGGTTATCACTTCCCGGTTGCCCACACCGTGGAAGGGTTCTGCTGGAGGTACCTGAAAAGGAAATTGGATTAGAGGTGGTCATAGTGACCTGAGAGCGTGACCGCAGTGCCCAAGGGACAGCTGCTTGAGGTCGGTCACACACGACCTTTTTATGAGTAATTTTTGTGTTAGCTCCGTACTTGTTGAGACCTTACCGTCGGAGACGGATATCCGTGGGATAAGGCGAGGTGTGCATTTTTAGGGTCGACCTTTTCTAACCCCACCTCAACTTGTGGGAAGGCAGCATCTCTATTATGCTGGTTGTCTGAAGGAGACACCTTACTGCTGTCACACCTCTGCACAGTCAGCAGTACGACTTCGCCTTCGGACCTTGGATTTGTTGCTTTTAGTTTTACCGCTCTTCAACCGACCTGTCTGGCATGGTAGGACTTTGAGGAACGGTTGTTCCAGCCAGTATAGCTCAGTTGCTTCATCACGATAGGCAAGCCCGACCACCACGTCAAGGTAGCAACAACGGTCAGGATCTTACAGGGTTTGAAGTTAGTGGTCAGTGGGAGAACAGTTTCCTCATTCACATGTCCAGATTCTATGGCTGGTATCTCGGTGTGATTGGGACAAATATTTGTAACAATACACGTGGAGTAGACTTCGATAAAATAGTTTGAGAAAGTCTCAGCTTTTGTCAGATCTGATTCAGCTAGTAAATCTGAATTTTCATGTAACAGTAACGGGGGAATACCGTCACTATGTTTTTTTTGCCGTTTAACGTACGAAAAGAATCGTTTCGGACAAGTACGGCTATTATATGCTAACTGTCGTTCGGAATTAGTACGGGATTTAGTTATGGGCTTTCAACATATATTCCGGATGTTTTTATATTCACACTTAAATAATGCGTGTCCTGTTAACAAGAATAAGTCCCAGAAGTGTTTCTTACGCTTCAACAGTTTCCGGGATTCCTTATTAATCCATGGAGGGCAATGTGATAGCTTACGTGTTGACTATGGGGTAAACGGTGATGTTATGGACTCAATCCAGTCAGTCGTGATAGCCCAGTCTCTGATTGCCGAAATATTGGAACAGGGTGGAGCAGACACAAATTGTATATCTTGTGTCCGAAACAAAGTAAAGTATAACGTGATCACTATTCACTAGTGGGGGGAAGGTGCTGAATGTCGATGACATTATTATTTATTTATTTATTTTAACATATAGGTATTGGTGCACGGAGGCACCAAATACATATGTGCCACACGAATCTCAATTGATTTGTGTGAGGGCTATGATACTGCCCGGGTGCCCAAACCGAAGCAGGTGGTTTTCTTAATCAATACATATAATACCTACGTGGAAAACGGGCCTGCTCGTCACGAGCTTTGCATAACTTGCGAAGTATAGCGGGTACAGCAGTTCGAGGGGAATAAGGGTGAGATTTATGCCTTGGCAATTGTTGCTCAAAGTATATAGGTCTCCTTCAAAGATAAGGACACTGACCGCCTCATTCCAAAACGTTATTTCATCATTAAGTTGTTGTATTCAGTTAATCTTCTGCTAATTTGAACTTTATTTATGCAGCTAAAGAGGAAAATGTAATCAAAGTCTAGTGGTACTTCTTAATGATAATGAGTCATAAAATATACGACAAAACTTACCTCATATAAGTAACGTTTTAGTTAAGTTTGTCAAAAATACCAGACTCATTTGTTGCAGTCCTGAAACTACTGATTTTATTTCAGTGTATAAGAAAACTTAAGAGCAAATTATGTATGCTATTATCTTATTTTATTTTTGCTTCTACATGTTTTATTTTATTTAGATATACTTTCTAGCTGACGTGAATTTAATGGAATCGTCTAACCAGGTTTTATCACGTTTTCTTGTATTTTAATGTGATGACTTAGTAGTTAAAGTGATCAGCTTCCAACAAGCATGTCTCAGGTTTGAATTCGTGTCCATCTACTTCGATTTGAGCGCACTGGGACTTTCACTGGTTCTTATAAACAGTGTGACTCAAAGTCGACTACTTAAATCTGTACTTAAAAAATAATTTGCCATAACAAGATGCTTTGCATTTTGTTCATAGGTTTTAAATTTATTTTTTAACATTAGTGACTCATTACATAATACTCATAACTTTGGATAATTCATTGTACGCCGCATTGCAGGATAATGTCTAATAAAGGCAAATCGCAAGATGAGGCTCTTAATAACGAAGTATGTATTCAATTACCAGTCACTTAATTCAGAATTCAAAGTCAACAAATTCATTCTATCATGAAGAGAATTCTGTGAAATTGGATGGAAGTGCTCACGATCTTTTACAATTCCGAGATTGTTGTGAATCATTACGCGAGTTCATAAAAAATACATGGCAGCGCAAAAAATCACAGGAGAAGGTATGTTGAATACACTTACCTGGATAATGTTTTCAGATTAATGCTTCGCAGTTTGCCTTTCTGATGATATCTATTAAGGAGTTAAACAGAAGAACTCAGTTTAGGATTCGAAAATCTCGAGAAATAACTGCAGAGGTAACTTGAAGTTGTGCTAAGATTACCTCATATTTTAATTCTAACAGAATAAGAATAAAGTGGATCAGTTACACTTAGGTTTGCAAAATCTTTTATATGAAGTCGCACACCTTGAAAATGAAATTCAAACATGTTTAGAATTTAGGTGAGTTGTATTTTAGTGTTTGCTTATCTACTACAATAGGTCTCGACATGAAGATATAAAATTAATTCCGGTAGAAGAGTTCTATGAGAAAACTGGGCGCAGAGTAGTTTTTGCTTTACATTTTACAAATTTATAGATCGGAAGCTTATCAGAACATCAGGAGACTTTGGAGCGTCTTCATTGGGAGCTCGAACAACGAAAGGCGTAGGTTTCTTTTTATTGAATAGTTTAATGTATTTCAGTTTATCTGACTCTTGTGATAAGCTAAAAAGTGCTGTTGAATGTACTTCACAAACCATTAAAAAGAAACGGAATTATCTAGCTAGTTTTGGTCCAAAGTTAAAGGATGTTGCTGAAGTAAGTTGTTTATTTACCATATCTGAGTTTATCAACTATTTTTAGAGCACTTTAATTGTCCAGGAACTAATGGACTTACCATTTACCAACGAGAATGAACAGTATAATTTGGCATTTCTTCTACCTTCACCACTGTATATTCTTTATTCTCTATTAAAGTCATACATATCTATGTCAGGTAGTTTAGAAAACATTTTTGAGTTGGATGAATTTTAGTCATTCTGGAACCAAAAAAGAGGGTAGCGTATTTAGTCATTTAGATATAATTGAGTAACCATGCATTTGTTCGTGCTTTCGATTTTGAGATGTGATGGTGACGATTAGTAATACTATTTGGTTGTTTAAAAAGTAGTAGGCAAGACGGGGTTCGAACTGGGGATATTACATACCGTGATCAATTATCGTCTTAGAAGTATACTATACTGATGACTTTAGGCTACTTGTTAGTCAATCTAAAAAGTGTTTAGATATAAAAGAATTAACACTAAATTAAAGTGGCTAAATAGCTTTTATATGATTAATGAACCCTTACACGTTACACGATCTATAATAAAAAGCGGAGGAAATTTAAGTATTAGTAATTGGGCTGTGGTTATGGATAAAGGTTAGGGTTTTCATCTCGAACTGAACTCAGGTATAATCCAATGATATTCTGCCAAACTTTTGTTTCTAAACTTATAAAATCTAGGTTGGAGATTTGGGGCTGGGAGTTCGAGTGGGAAAATATTTTTTAGCTACACAAACATCCTTCACTGTGAATTAAACATATTACGTACTGACAAGTTTTAGTTTATCTCTCACTGCGCATTGAATTTAACGGAAAATTCATGAAAGCGATCTCTTAGTTTTAATTGGTTCACTTAGGGCCGTCAGTGTAGTATACTTCTACCATTGTTTGTTAAGTTAGCTTCATTTGTATTTGTCAGTGAGTGTCTACTGTTCTTCCTCGTATGTAATATGGGTTTATTTTGGTTTTGCTAGTGGCTAACAGCTCGCCGTTCGGTAGCTAATGAAACTTTAGATGTGATTCTCATTCCGTTTAAGGCTTTTTACCTGCGTACTAATACTAAAACTTGAACGCATTATTTATAAGTTTAAACATGAAGGCGTTATTATACTACCGAGTTAATTTCCCACTAGTCGCGTTTTTGATCACTAGACTCCCTATGCATTTACTCCGATACGCCGTTTTTTATTCATTATCCTATTCGATTGAGTACTTCTTACTTTGTATGTTTTCTACCATAAATTATGCTCTGGTTGGGACAGACAATAGTGACTGTGACACCACAAGTTCCTACTGAATATTAAGCTTTTATAGAGTCACTTCTTTTACAAAGCTAATATATGTAATATACATGCGTCTACCAATAAAGCTAAAGTGTTTAAATACTTCTCGAGCTAAATTTTTGGGTAAAAAAGAAATTGGATATAAACAGTTATTATTGACTTTTACTTTTTTGAAATTAAGATTGCTCGCCCTCTTTTTCTGTATTTTCTTGATAGGTTTTTTAGTCCTGTAATAAGAGAAATGTAGTTTTATGTGTAATTGTTGTTTTAATAAATATATTTGAACGTTGTTGTATGGTCGATAAGCAAAGTTATTTGTTGTGAATTTAATCGATCGATGTATTAACTAATAAAAAAAGTGACAGCTTAGTATTTCTAAAACACATCGACTACAATTTCATTTCTTTGATGTGTTCGGCTAAAATATTATGGGTTCTGATTTTCGTCCTAAAATGAGTTGGGTTTTTTTTACTATATTTTTTATAGTGCCTTTATTAGCTACGTGGATGCAGGTAATATATTGCTAATTAAACTATTTTGTTGAGTTGTTCTTCTTATTGTAGGAAAAAAATCAGAATTTTCTGTATCGATCGAAGGTGATTCGGAATTGGCCAAAGCTGTTAATCAAACAACAGAACAAACGGAATCCCAGTCTTCACCACAGGAAGCTGATGATTCTGATGTAGATGATGGAGAGGGGAATAAAAAACGAGTTAGTTCTAGTTTTATTTTTTATATGTGATATTCAAACTAAAACGGATCATGATAGGGTTAGTTCATGAAGTCATCGATTGTTAGTTTAATATGTGTAAGTGGCAACATGTTTTGAGGTTCTTGTTACCTAGATAAACTTAATATTTATGAGTTCTGAGGTAACTGACTTACTGATTTGAATACAATATGTTGCGAGAAATTAGTACATTAATCCGACAAAGCAAATAAAATACTGAAGCAAAGCTAAAAATAGAAGTAAACACAGGACTATAAAATTAATGTGTATGTTATCAAGTTATTCAGAATTCGAGTTTAAGGTAAGGAATAATTTTGTTTATGGTAAGTTGTGCTTTTGTTTGTATTTTACGTACACTATCACAGTAGATTAGTTAAGAGTTTATACAACCACAATAGTGTATTACTAACAGTTAATAGAAACTATCATTTCTATGGGTTTTCATCGATATACAGAAATAGACCGATATAAGTTCGATAAACTGAATAACATGTCATTAGCCCTTGTGTTGTACGCCGAATTTCTTACTTTTTTTTGTAAAGATAATTCTTTATACTAATGGTAGTCATAGGCGTAAATCATTTGAAAATGTAAATCTTACTACTTGTTAAGTAATTGTTCTTTCTACCAAAACTCTGATTCTGCCTTGTATTAGAAAAAGAAACGTTATGCAGCAGAATGCATCGATGATAGAGATAAAGAGTTTACCAATGAAAAGACTATTAAATTCCATCCATTAACTGTTTTGTTAACGGTTTCTGTCCCTAAAAATTCAGGTGAGATTTGTTTCATATTCTTTCTTGTTTTTTGTTTTTGATGAAATTATACCCGTAGATAGTTTTTTTTTCAAGAAACAGGGACTACAACTTGAATTATCGTGATCGGCAATTTACTTCACAGTTAAAATGAAACTTACCTCGTATTTAAGGATATCGTTGTACACTAAAAGTTTGTGCAATGAACAGATAAATAAGATTTTTTAAACTGATAAAATAAAATGTTTGTTTCTGCAAGTATTAATCAATATGACCTCAGTCAGTCAGTCAGTAACAACGTGGAACTTCGTACGTACGTACATCAGTTCGAGTTGCCATACCACATTAGCACAGAGATTCAGTTATCGATTCAAATCCCATAATGGTAGAGGTAGTGAAAGTATAAGTAGTGATATGGAACATTAAGGTTTGATGATGTTATTTAAGGAGTATAGTCCAGTGGAATAGATTTGGAAAGAAAATAAAGGACATGAAGAATACAGAAGATTAGAGTTTGAGAGAACACAGAGAGTGGATGCACCTGCGCCATTGCAAATGATTTTGAGCTATGTCATTCAAGGTCTCTAACCATCGGTTGCTATCGTCTCGCGGTCCCCAACCAGGTAGTCTACACCTACCAACATGACTCAGTCCACTTGTCAGTGACTTCATGGATTTGTGCTATGTTTTTGTCTGGCCGCCCCTATCTTTCTTCCAACCTATTCCTACACCAGAAAACATAGCACGTCGGGGCAGTCGGTAGTTGGGCATACGTAACGTGTCCCAGCCATCTCAAATGATAAAGTTTCACTACACCATCAATTGATTTGCCATCCTTACCTAGTAACCGTTTCATAACAACTGCATTACTTACTCGGTGGTCCCAGGATATACGAGCAATGTATCGAAGACACCTATGGTCAAATACTCGTAACCTACGAATATCCTCTACTCTTGCTGGCCATGTTTCACTGCCATAAAGTAGGACGGAACAAACTGTTGCGCAGTAAACCCGTCCTTTGGTTGATAGACGGATATCTCGCCTACGCCACAAATGACGCAAGTTGGCAAAAGCTAGTCGAGCCTTCTGTATCCGTACTGAGATTTCGTCACACACCAAACCACAAGGGTTGATGAGACTTCCGAAATAAGTGAAGCGGTCAACACGCTCAACTACTTCAATCCCTATCCCTAGTTCGGGTGTCGATGAAACTCAATCCTGAAGCAACATTTTGCATTTCGAGGGAGAAAATCGCATGCCGAACATGCTTGCATTGTTGCTTAGAGTGGTCAGCAGACTCTGCATTTTGTCAGCGTCTTCACTAAATAGAACTATGTCATCGGCATATTCTAAGTCAACAAGTGGATCTCCCGGTAGAAGTTCAACTCCTGGAAATTTAGATGAGGAAAGTGTTACCTCTAAAAGCACGTCAACGACAAAGTTAAACAAGAATGGAGAGAGTGGACAGCCCTGACGAACACCACTTGAAGTAATCAGTTCTGATGACAGTTCGCCATAAGCTCTCATTCGACCAGTTGTGTTCGAGTCGAGAGCCTGTATAAGGTTAATGTACTTCTTTGGTACTCCTTTCAGTGACAAACACTGCTATAGAACCTCACGATCAACTGAGTCAAATGCTGCCTTAAGGTCGAAAAATACTACCATTGTGGGGCGTCTGAATGTGTGTCTATGTCCTAGGACCTGACGTAGTGTTAATATCTGATCTATACAACCATGTCCAGGTCGAAAACCAGCCTGGTTTTCTCTAGTCTGCTCTTCACGAGCTTTGGTTAGGCGTCGAATTATTATTGAAGTTAGTATTTTAGACACTATATTGGTCAAACTAATTCCTCTGTGATTGTCACAAGAAGACTTTTGTCCTTTCTTATAGACTGGCACAATCAGTGATTGAGACCAGTCAGATGGGATTACGTCCAGTTCCCAGATTCTACCTAAGACCTCAGTCAATCTCGCTGCTAATACTGGACCTCCATTCTTAAAAATCTCAGGGATAAACCTGTCAGGCCTGCTGCTCTCCCACGCTTCAGATTTCCTATAGCTTTTTCAACTTCGTAAAGAGTCGGAGGACTTACATTAATTTGCCTTTCAGGTAGATTGGAGATCGTGGGAAACCGAAGTGTGGCTGAAGGCCAGTTGAACTGATCCCTAAAGTGTTCTGTCCATCGTTCCAATCTCCTGGGTTGAGAATGAATAATATGTCCATCTTTCTCTGAGATTGTTTCGCTAACAGTTGGGTTCCTAATACCGGTTTCCTTAACAAGTCTGAACAGTTGCCTGTGGTTAGCTATTGCCGCTGCCTTTTCCATCTCTCTTGCTTTCGCTACCCACCACTGTTCACGATCTTTGCGTAGGCTTCTAGTCAGCTTACGCTTAAGCTGACTTCGCTCTTCGTTATGTTCAGAGCCAGATGGAATGGTTTTCGAGCATCTATCAGGGCAGTCGACGCTGCTGAGATCCAGTGTTTCTCCCTAACCTTGTAGTTTACCGTACTTGCAGACATCACTGCTGTTTCTACAGCTTTTCGTATGTCATTCCACGCTGCCTCGGGGTGGGCATCACTTACATGGCTGCCTAACTGTTTTTCTAGTTGTTCCTGAAATATACTCTTAGCTTTACTATCATTAAGTAGGACTCTAAGGGGTTTCCTTGCAGCGTTTTTCCTACGTCCAGTAAGACGTAGATAAATACGCGCTCGCACTAGAGCATGATCTGAGTCTAAGCATGTGCTCCAGAATGAGCGACAGTCTTTTATTGAGCTCCTCCGTCGGTGGCTGATAGCGATGTGATCTATTTGGGTCCAGCGTTGGGACGAATTAGGGGGTCGCTATGGTAAAAGATGTTTTTCCTTATGCTTAAAGTTAGTGTTTGCAAGAAACAGGCGGTTATCTGAGCATAGCTGTAACGGACGGTCGCCGTTATCTGTTCTTTGAGCCGCGACACCATAAGATCCATCCAGGTGTCTTTCCTTTTCTCTTAGTTTACCTATTTGAGCATTAAAGTCACCAGCCACTATTACTACATCTGAACGCCTAGCTTTTCGGAGGAGGTCGAAAAGCTTTCTGTAAAACTCATCTTTTACATCATCTGAGCTGCAGTTAGTGGGAGAGTAGGCAGAGACGATGAAGAGGCAACGACGAGTGTCCCTATCTTTCCGAGTCCTTACTGTTCCGTTCAGTCGGACAGCGCACAAACGACTGTCTACTGGGATCCAGTCTAAGAGAGCTAGTTCTGCCCTAGGACTCAATGCTATACCTATACCGGCGAGGCCACAGGAAGCAACACCAAGGCTTCCAGATACACGAAGCGTAAATCGAGTTGGTTCGTTACTTTGACATGGTGCGGTCAAATGAATGACACTATTTGGATCCTGTGTGCGCGTTTCGGAGACGCAGCACACATCGATGGTGCGAGATTCTACAGTCCTAGCTGAGGAGGCCTATTGTCCTACTTATTAGGAGGTATAGGATGGATTTGAATGTGACCAACTTGGTCTCGTGTGTTGTTACAGGTATGAGGGCTGATGTCACTTTTCGGTTGCCCACACCGTGGAAGGGTATTTCTTAAGGAACCTGAAAAGGTGATCAGATTAGTGTTGGTCTTAACGACCTGGGTGTGTGACCGCAGAACCCAAGGAACAACTGCTTGAGGTCGGTCACATACGGCCTTTTTGTGGGAGGTTTTCAACGTGTTTGCTCCGTTCTTCAAAGGATCTTACCGCCGTAGACGGAAATCCGTGAGGTAAGGTGAGGTGTGACATTTTTAGGGTCAACCTTTCCTAACCCCTTCCTTCTTTGTGAGAAGGCAGCATCGCTGTAGATGCTGGTTGTCCGAGGGAAACACCTTACTGCTGTCATACCTCTGTACAGTCAGCAGTACGACTTCGTCCTCAGACCTTGAGTTGCTGCTTTTAGTCTTACCGTTCTCCATTGGATCTGCCTGTCATGGTAGAACTTGCAGGAACATATGTTCCAGTCAATATAGCTCGGTTGGGTCATCACGATAGGCAAGCCCGACCACCACATCAAGGTAGCAGCTACGGTCGGGATAAATAGGATGTCGCTGCCAAGACCTATTATTTAGTCATATGCTCCTATCGTCCCCTTCTCATACCAGTAAGTCTGATAGGTAAAAATACTTTTAGTGTTCAAACTACCCTATTATTATGACCCTGTAGGGAGATTTTTTGACAAAACCAGGTTGCCAAAATGCACCTTTTCATCGATTAAAAACTTATAGAAGCTGCATTAATCGTAACAACTATGAAAAACAGTACTTCTTTACTATAGGGTCAACTTATATGGTTAACGCAAGTTTACATTTCAAACGTGAAACGTCTATATGAACGCTGCGCTCTTATCTTCAATTGGAAAAAAAATAAAAAATTGCAATTTCATTCGAACTAAGTTTTATTTCACACAAATATATTTACAAGCATCCTATAAAAGTAATTAATTTTCCTCTTTCTGTAGATATACCACTGAGTGAACGTGGTTTTAGTATCAAATTATCATTTGCTTGGATGTTAGATTTACATCTGGTAACGGTGAGATTACAATTTTCAGCAAATAAAACTGCTTCACTTCCCCGATCAAAAACTGGAAAGTAAGTGGTTGACAGCATGTAATCATTGGACAGTAAACGTTTCTAATTCATGTTTGTTATCATTTTTGATTGTGTATAAAAGTCATATTTTGTATGAGTGATTATTTTGTAAGACGTTCAATATAACTGTAATTTCTAGCTGTTAACAAGAGGGAAACAATTACACACATTAGGCTGTTGGTTTTAAGACAAATATACGACAGAGCATGATAAAGGTTGGATACTTTTACGTAAATGAGTTTGATTTTCGTCATGATTATAGTATTTTATGGATTCTGTTTAAGATACTGTCATGACTTCATAACTTGCTACCATGTTTCGATATCGTCATTTTGAGATTTCCTTCATGTTTATCTTACTTAAGCACCATTGGGCGTTTGATTACTCACTGATTTAGCATTTTCAACGCAAACCCCAAGACATCTCGATGCATACGTTTTCATGAATCCACCTAAACCTCATAGTTAATATTGTTTGCGCCATTATCAGTGACATCGGTTGGCACATCATCAACTTTGTCCATGTTTCATGGTTGTATGGTAAAACACAGTGCTCAGTTGTTCTGTGCTGTTGAATATCTCATGAATGTTAACCAAGGAGTTGGCTGGCAAATCTTAGTTGAAGTTTCTGTGTTTGCAAGATGATTTTAATAAATATTAGGGTCGATAGACTTGCAAGGGTAGACAAAACAGTGGAAAACGTTACCGAAAGCACACTTAATTAAGTTTATATTTTTCACACTAACAGAACAATTAGACTAATGTTTCTCAAATATTTCTTCATTTTCCACTATTGTATCCTTTACTTACTGTAATTTTCGGTCAAATCATCCCTTGATGGGAAATCGATATAAATCAAGTTGATAATGATCATGTCGGAAACCATTTAAGATTGTTTGTTGGATACGAGATAACTTGGTTTATTATTGTGTGTATGTTTCTGACCCTTCCGTATGTTAACTCTAGATCATATCGAAATTAAGTGTATTTGTCACTTCCAGAAAGCCCTCATCCTGTTCCTTACATAAATGAAATTCAAATTTGAGTTGAGATTGGTAGAATCTTTTGACAATGTTCCCTTTTCAACCATTAGTGTCCAGGTATAAGTTCGAAAGAACTGTAATGTTTAACTGATCTTTTTTTAACCATGCCTAGAGTGTTACGATTTGTATGTGTACCTCATATGTTTAATTTAAAGCGAAGTTAGATTTATTTCCATTCTTTTTTCTGAAATTCACTTTCTTTATATTGTATTTTTATAGTAGCTTGCTTAATTCTGAACAGCTTTTGTCCAGTTTACAATGGTCTTGTGACCAACTCGGTTTCGGTGGTTGTAGTTCAGATATACCTATTTTATTTCTTCCTAATTCGCAAAAATCAATTACATGGAATGCATGCGAATCCATAGGACGACCATATTCGTGGGCTCAACAACTCTCAGGCATTAACTGCTTTCCAGATAGATTATCTGATATTAAATTATGTGAACAATCATCAAAATCTATTGAATCAGAACATTTTGGGGAAATTGAATCTTGGTTAAAATCTCTTCAATCGCGAATTATTGACAGACTATATCTTATTGAAGAGGTGAGTGTACATTTTTGCAGATCTACCACAATGCACTTCTCATTCATCTCAATTTCATTTATAATACGAGTCACTGCTTTCTGTTGGAGTTTCGGAAAAAATCAGCGTTATAAGCAAGAAAGTACTGATCTTGGAATTAGGTTTCAGTAACTGCTTATCGATAGTATTAGTCAGTCAGTCAGTAACAACGTGGAACTTCGTACGTACGTACATCAGTTCGAGTTGCCATACCACATTAGCACAGAGATTCAGTTATCGATTCAAATCCCATAATGGTAGAGGTAGTGAAAGTATAAGTAGTGATATGGAACATTAAGGTTTGATGATGTTATTTAAGGAGTATAGTCCAGTGGAATAGATTTGGAAAGAAAATAAAGGACATGAAGAATACAGAAGATTAGAGTTTGAGAGAACACAGAGAGTGGATGCACCTGCGCCATTGCAAATGATTTTGAGCTATGTCATTCAAGGTCTCTAACCATCGGTTGCTATCGTCTCGCGGTCCCCAACCAGGTAGTCTACACCTACCAACATGACTCAGTCCACTTGTCAGTGACTTCATGGATTTGTGCTATGTTTTTGTCTGGCCGCCCCTAGCTTTATAAAATTTTAAATATTTTCATATTTAACTGCATCCCTGGTGTTTTTGTTGTCATCTTCATTTTATGGCTATCATCTTTTTCTCAATCGTTTAAGTATATGAAGAATTTTTGTTTACGATCTTGTTTCTTTTAATTATTATATTGTTTTTACATGATTTAGTCTAGAATCGAAAGCTTCATTAATCCTTTCCGACTTTCCGGATCTGAAAGTATGGGTTTATTATAGAGCTAATTTGAATATTTGATACTGGCATATTGTTTCTCAGTCCTATAAAATTTTTCAAACCAGTTTTGTTGCTCCATTCAAACATTAAACTTATATTTGTCTCTAACATTATCAGCTTGTTGTTTTGTTACTGGGAAACGATCTTATTGAGCTGTTTTATAAAAGTATATTTAACGTAGAAAACTCTGTGTATCACATTTGGAATAATTTATTACTCGCTTTGTAAATAACTGTAGAGATACAGTACAGTACAATGATCCAGTGTAAACAAGTCAATCGAACAGAATGATGCAATCAAGTTAACACTACATAGATTCAATCTTAGTGATACTTTTGAGAAATAAGTATAAATTGGCACTGAAGCTCATAAATTCTACTCAATCTTTTGATTGACGAATGTTAGCTTATGTGTACGAGTTCATTGACAGGCTATCTTTAGCAACGAATTAATAATAAAAATAATGTAAAAATACTTGGGTTCTTATCTTTATACTACAACAAACTTTTTATTGAGACACTAAAGCGGTATGTTATTTCTAGATTTTAATTAAAAGAAGCAAGTACCATGTTAAGGTTTGGGCAAAACTAATTCTATTTTATTAATTGCCAAAGACATATTGTACTTAATAACTCCTACAGATCCCAACTTATTTTTGGGATTTATTACTTATTTACGCTTGTTACCCCTCGTGGAGGAGCATAGGCCACCCACCAGCATTCTCCATCCAAATATTTCCTGGACAATACCTTCCAGTTGATTCCAATTGCCATTCATCCTTTTCATGACCGCTTCCGATTCCCGACTCAGTGTGTTCTTCAGCCTTCGTCTTTTCCATTTTTCTGCAGGATTCCAAGTTAGCACGTGCCTTGTGATACAGTTTGATGATTTCCGTAATGTATGTACTATCCACTTCGAATTTCTTTTCTTAATTTACAGCTCAGCTGGAAGCTGGTTTGTTTTCTTTTACAGCAAGCTGTCGCTAATGGTATCCGGATAATGTATATTGAGTATCTTGCCTAGACAACTGTTTATAAATACTTGTACCTTATTGATGATGGCTGTGGTAGTTTTCGAATTATCAGCTCCGTACAGTAGGGTAGTTTCAACGTTCTTATCGAAGATTATCAAATTGATATTGGTTGTTTTCAGTTGTCTTGAGTTCCATATGTTCTTCAATTGTAGGAATGCAGTCATTGCTTTTCCAATCCCCGCCTCTACTTTGGATCTTCTTTGTTCATCGATGATGCTTCCCAGTTACGTGAAAGCTTTTACATCTTCCAGAGGTTCTCCACCAAGGGTGATTACATCGGTGTTCTTTGTGATGTATTTTAGGATCTCGCTTTTTCTTTTTTGTATATTGAGGCTTACTGATGCAGAGGCTGCTGCTTCACTAGTTGTCTTCATCTGCATTGTTGGTGTGTATAGGATAGAAGGGCCAGGTAATCTGCGAAGTCCAAATAGTTTAGTTCATTCCAAGCTGTCCGTTGAATTCTATGCTTCTCCTCTGATGTCGATATCTTCATAATCCAGTCAGCCACCAGAAGAAAGATTAACAAGAAGAGTAAACAGAATTGTCTGACTCTAGTCTCCATTTGGAATGCATCTGTCAGCTGTTATCCATTCAACACTTTGCAGTGTAGTTCATCGTATGAATTCCGTATGATGTTGATGATTTTCTCAGCTACTCAAATCATAGTGTCGAAAACGTTTCCATATGGTCCTCCTATCCACATTGTCGAATGCTTTCTCATAATCAAGGGAGTTGATGTATAGTGACGAGTTCCACCCAACTGATTGCTCAACGATGATGCTTAGTGTCGCAATTTGGTCTGTGCACGATCGACTTATACGGAATCCAGTCTGTTGATGTCGAATTCGGAAGTCTACTGGATCTTTCATCCGGTTCAACAACACTCTGTTGAAATCTTTTCCTAGCACAGAGAGCAGTGTGATGACTGTGTACTTCTCACACTTGCTCAGATCTCCTTTCTTTGATATCTTGGTTGGGTATACTTCTTTCTAATCTATGGGCACTTGTAATTCTTCCTGAATAGGATGTGGAGCATGTTTGCAGTTGCTTGTGTGTGCGAGTTTAGTGCCTCAGGTGGTATGTTGTTAGGTCTCACTGCTTTCCCAGTGTTGATTTAACCGATGACCATCGTGATTCCCTCGATCGTTTGTGGAGTGACATGTATAAGAAGGTGTGTGTGTGTGTGCTGCTTCCATGTCCGGTGGATCCAGTGTAGCTGATCTATTCAAGCGTTCGTCGAAGTATTCTTTCCATCTATTCATCTGTTCTTGAATCTCGTTTATTGTCTTGCCTTCTTCGTCCTTGACTTGTCTCACTGGTTAAATATATTTCCCTGTCAGTTTCTTTGTTGTGTCATAGCCATCTCATATTTCCTTCTGTTACAGCTTTCTCCACTGTTGTTGTTAGCTCTTCCACGTATTTTTGCTCGTCGGTTCTAATGCTCCTCTTCCCTTGCTTGATCGCTTTAGTGTATTCAACTTGTGCCTTGGATTTCTCTGTGCTTGTTCGGCTATCGTTAATCACCTTCTTCTTGTTCTTCCTTTCTTAAATCTTGTCCAGAGTTTCGATAGAGATCGATTTCTCATAATGATTTCTCTTGCGGCCCAGTACCTTCTGACGCGTTGAAGTTAATGCTTCTTTGATCCCTTTCCAGCTGTCCTTCATAGTAGTTTCTTCTTTGAGTAGATCTTTAAAGGCTGGGAACCTGTTGTTGAGAGTTATTTTGAATTGATTGAGTTTGTTAGTACCTCATGGGAAGACTGTATTGAAATTTTGTAATGCTGTTTCCCCAGTTGTCCAATGCTTCTTTAGCTTCAGTTTCATCTTGGTCACAATCAGACGTTCTTCTGAATTTTATGTTGATACAAATATGATCTTTCTGGTTCTCTGTGGTGTGATCCAGTGAGACCTGTGTAGCTTTGTGTATGCGTTTGTGTGGGAATATTGTGCTGCCTTTAACCATTTTGTTGAATGCACATAGGTTTGCGAATCTCTCCCCATTTTCGTTTCTCTCCCAGTCCATGTCATCCCATGATATCCTTATATCCGGTGTTGTCCATTCCAACTTGATGTTTAGATCTCCCATCAGAATGGTGAGTTCCTTTCTTGGTCACTTTGCTATGATTGATTGCGGCCTCTGGTAGAATTGATCTTCAATGTCCTCGTTGCTATGATTTGTAGGTGCATAACATTGGATAACATTCATAGTGACTTTCTCCTTTATTTTGAAGTATGCTTTAATGATTCTGGGTCCATGAGATTCCCATCCTACAAGTGCTTTACGTGCTTTTTTGGACAGCATCAGAGAAACTCCCTGAATGTGTGGAGCATTTTACTATTTGTGACTACAGTACAGCCACATCTTTCCCGAATCTAACCTTTTCTGTCTAGCTTGTGTCCGATGGGTTTCACGTTTTCCGAGCACCGTCAAGTTGTATCTTCTCATTTCCGTAGCTGTTCGATTAGTCCTCCTGGTCTCCTACGTTCTTCAAACATAACATGTACCCATACTAGTTGTTTTTGTGGTTGTTAGAAGGGGCATCGGTCTCGTAACTTTTGAAGAATCTGGGCTTTCATCCCGATGCGTCATAATTCTTTCTTCAACTCCCAGGACAGAGTTTAAGTGGTTTAAATTTTTTTATGGTTGGCGTTTTCCTAAAAAGATTTTTTTCTACGAAAGGTAGTTGCTGACCTCATACCTAACCCTCCTTCTTTTACGCGGGCTTGGACCGACAGTAACTCTAGAAGAGCTACAGGCGGAGTCAGGGATTTCTTAGTCTGCTAAGCATATTTTTTTCATGAAGTGTAAACTACTATCAAGCAGTAAGTAGTACGGAGGTGTATCATAACAAACTATGTTTATTATGAAGTCATTTATTCGCTAATGATTAAAATTTACGTTTATTATAACTGTCAGAAAGTAGTTTCTATCTGTCCAAAGATATTCTTAGACCTAAGAGAGAATCATGAGCATTAGTAATTAAAATATACAAGAGTGATAGGAAAGGACCTTAAGTACGTTGAAAGTTTATTTAAATCGACATGACCTAGAGATGAACACAGATGTAAGTTTATCATGTAATTTTATCAAATTTTCATACCGTAGAGTGTCACTGTCACTTTTTTATGTTTTGTTTTTGTTATTTACTACTTGATCAGTGATATTTTCCGTTTTAGCAGGTAGAGGATTGGAGGATGATGTCTGAGAGTTATACACAGCCAGTTTATAGTACTTTCACTATTACGCCACTTGGATCGTATTTATATCAATGAATGTAGTAAGAAACTAAGGCACAGAAGCTTGTACCTTTTAATGGACACGAAAAATATTTACATGATTATTATTTAGTTTATGCACAACCTTGGGGAATTAACATGTTGAAACGTTCATCAGCCAACTAGAGAACAGCAAACATTATTTGGGCAATTCTGATTTCTGGTCTTTGACAGACTTTTGGCCGGAAGGCTTAACAATTCAAAGTGCTAAATAAACAACTGAAATTAAAGAGCTGTCCCAGCTACTAGATACATTTCATCATTACATTGATTCGCTATTTATTCATGTGTGTTAAGATTTTCTCACTTTTGGTGAACGTCGAACTCTTGAAAAATGAGCAGCTACTTACTATTCAGTTCATTAGTTGTTAAATGTTTTTACTATGTACGGTTCATATTATTGTGTATTCATGAGAATAATTTTCGGTTTTGAATGGTCTATCGTAGAAATCACATGCTAACAGTTAGAATAACTTGGACATTTAAAAACATTGTAATTCAGTACGTAAAAACTACTTATGTATAATTAACTGAGACACGATCAGATTATATTTGAGTCATCATTTTAATTTAGTCATTGGAGTATCGTATTTCATATTGAATGTACGAATTAAGGTAATTAACTTAATGTTACATATTGTCGGGCTTGTTAAATTAACTTTGTAACATCATTTTTTTAAAAGGGTGGAGTTATTTTAAGTACATTAGATTCAGGATATACTTTTCGTAAATTTTCATTAAAATAGGATGGTTTCCTAAGCAGTTCGAAGTATGAAGCTAGGAGACAGAATCTATGTATTGATAATACATTTTAAGTGTAAACTTAACAATCGAGTTCAAATAGGAACTAAATCTGATAGATCTAGACTTTTCTAATTACTTTCACTACACTCGGATAGTAATTTTTTTCGTTGCGTTTCCTTAATCCTTCCTTGTTACTGTTTTTACTGTTTGCAAAATTAGCTTTCAGAAATTGAACGTTGCAACTTGTCGTTATCACCGGAGCAACAACAGTTAATCCCCTCTGATGTTGAACTCCATATTATTCGGTGGAAGAATTCTGATTTTGAAACTTTACAGGTGATTTATTTTTATGAAGTTGTATGTTCGGTTTGGTAGTCGTCTACTAACTAAATATTGTTTACTTTATGTAAAATAATGTTTTGTTTCAATGTATGGTATTGCACTGTGTGTTGGTTTTGATAGTATTGATGACCATATATTTAACGCCAATTACAAAAATTAAAACATTTTCATTTTTTTTTTACCTTGTTTAGTAGTATCCTAACAGTTACTTTCATTATTTTTAAATGACTGCAAGTAACTGTTCAAAGTACGGTTTACGGTCACTTGGTTATACTTTTAAACGCATTCATATGATTAACAACTTCAAATACATACATACTAGCATCAATTGTCGTGAATTATTTTGATGACACTGACTGTCCGACATGTAAATGTTAACTGTGTTTAACTTGTTATTCGTCATTCTTGTTAATGTCTATTTACATTTATCGTCTTTTAAGGCTCTATTTTTATTTTTTTTGTTTATAGTCCGTTCCTCGTGCTCAGGTTATGATAGCTTTAAATATAATTCGTCCTGAAGACTCAATATTCCAGTGTCACTTTGGAAGAGATGAAAACTGTGGGTTAACATGATTTTACTTTATGTTTTCCATGTGATATTTTTCTAAATTTTTCATTACTAAGCAATTTTAATCATGTAATCTAAATCCTGCGCTAGTGTGTAGGTCACAGTTTTGTGTGTCTGCTGACAATCGTAGTTCACTAATTGAATTGAAACGGATAGACTTATACTTTGAACATCTGACTGTACAAAGTAAGACTTTAACCACTCGTCTTCTCGGTTAAGCAAAGCATTACCGCTTTTTTCTCACATAAGTATGTCTTGTTGCTGAGTATTACATGGTTTTCATTGAGCTTCATTCTAACTGAGGGATACTAACCCTAACTCAGGGTCTGAAAAGTCGGAAAAATGAAAATTTCGCAAATGCGACAAAAATGAACTTGATGGTCCAGTTACAATATTCCGACATCAGACAATGGGTTTTAGGCGTTATTTAAGCCCTAACGCTTCAGGCTGGGCTATTTCGCTTACTACCCTACATATGTGTTGTATGCAGTATAAGCTATATGGCCGTGTGGAGCTGAAGGTCTCATATGAGGCTGGAGGCTCGCCATTGCTATTGTGGATGGTTCAGTAATGCTTTGGCAAGTTTTGCTGACTGTTCATGCACAAAATTGGTTTGCTGGTTAACTGATTTCATTAATACTGGTGGCTGCTTTACAGTGTTCTCGAGGGCCATTGTCATTGGGACATTGTAAGGCATGTCGCTATTGCTAACATTAATGAGTTTGACTGTCGTGTAAGCGGAATTGGTCAACTTTGGCCTGTTCTTGCCGTGCATAATTGATTCGCGCGATCATTGGTCGGAATAACTACACATGTGATGTGAATGTGTATATAAGTGGTGCGAATGGTCCACCAGGGTGCTTGGTACCTGTGTGGTTGCGCCACAGGATTGAGCTGTACTATTCAGATTGTAGCGTTAAAGCCTATACAGTGTCTGGCTCTCCTGTTAAACGGGCTTGGGCTGTACTGTTTGGGTTGTCACGTGAAAGTCTGGACGGTATCTGGTTCTCCTGAAAACCGATGTAAAATTACCCTGGCCCACAAGGGTATATTATATAACTGTGAATAACTTACATAACTTCATTCTAAATGATCTTCAATTTATTCGTAGAATTTATTCTTAATTCGTAGTGCATGTATGTTTTGGCTTACTTTTTCAGATTTTGTCACTGTATGGGTCTGTATCCCACCTCAGTATCCACATAAAGCGCCAATACTAATTATGGACGGTCTAATCAATTTTGTCAGTCCCAGTGGTACACATAATACGGAGGATGTCACTGACTTATCTGATCTGCATATACAGGTAATTTCTAATTATTTATTAATTATTGTTAAATCTAACTGACTATCATTTCAGTTAAGGTCCGTTTTTTAAAATATGTTTTACAAAACGACCCAACAATAGAACACTAAAATTTGTATTTCCATATACTTAGTCACCGGCATGGTAAATAATTCCTACCTATGTATTTGACACATGTTTTATTGATATAGGTTGTTACATCAATATCGTACATATATTACTTATTTATGTGGCTTAACACGCTCAGAAAGAAATCTAAGATTGTATATTTATCACATTATTACCTATCTGGGTAATTATGCGAGACTCCTTAGCAGTGCTCATTCACAATCTGGCACTCAGGATCAGATATTAACACTACGTCAGGTCCTAGGACATAAACACACCACAATGGTAGTATTTCTCGACCTTAAGGCGGCATTTGACTCAGTTGATCGTGAGGTTCTATGGCAGTGTTTGTCACTGAAAGGAGTACCAAAGAAGTACATTAACCTTATACAGGCTCTCGACTCGAACACAACTGGTCGAATGAGAGCTTATGGCGAACTGTCATCAGAACTGATTACTTCAAGTGGTGTTCGTCAGGGCTGTCCACTCTCTCCATTCTTGTTTAACTTTGTCGTTGACGTGCTTTTAGAGGTAACACTTTCCTCATCTAAATTTCCAGGAGTTGAACTTCTACCGGGAGATCCACTTGTTGACTTAGAATATGCCGATGACATAGTTCTATTTAGTGAAGACGCTGACAAAATGCAGAGTCTGCTGACCACTCTAAGCAACAATGCAAGCATGTTCGGCATGCGATTTTCTCCCTCGAAATGCAAAATGTTGCTTCAGGATTGAGTTTCATCGACACCCGAACTAGCTCTTTCAAGATTGTTAACAACGTCTCAAAGTTCCAGTTAATCATAAATAACAGTTGCATACTTTCTTCATAAAGTTTGGTGTTTACATTTTTTAGTGTAGTGTTAAATGAAATTTGCCAGTAGTCACGCCACCAGATGGATCAAATTAATATCACCATTTATTAATCATCTCTTTGTAATAACATTATGTTTTACAAAATTTTTTTATCATAAATCTAAGTAAATGTTTGTTGTGTATATCCAAGTAGTCAGTCAGTCAGTCAACTGCAACGTAGGACCAGGCACATATATGCATCGATCCAAGTTGCCATACCGCATTAGCTCAGCAAGATGAACACCAAATTCACAGAAGTAGTTAATTCAGTTGTGGTAATATATAAAAGAAAGATTGCATATAAGGATATACTACAGGAAGAAAGAATTAGTTCGTAGAAAGAAAGGTATAAAGCAATTTTAATCTAGCGGTTTAAGGGAAGACAAATAGTGTATACCCCGACGTCATCGTGATCGATTCTGAGCCATGTCACCAAGAATCTCCAACCATTGGTTACGAGAGTCACGCGGACCTCAACCAAGTAGTTTGCATCTACCATCATGGCTCAGACCAGAAGTTAGTGACTTCAAGGACTGGTGTGACGTTTTGGTTTGGTCACCCCTAACTTTCTTCCAACCATCTCCAAAACCGGCTAGCATTGCATGTCGTGGTAATCGGTGTTCAGGCATACGCAACACGTGGCCCAACCATCTCAGTCGATGAAAATTCACAACCTCATCCAAGTAGTAAAGATCGATTTGTCTCAAAATTGTGGAAAAATTATTATTACATATATGAGCTTTCATTTTTGTATGAAGTATTCAGTCAAGATAATATGACCTATCACGTAAAAAATGAATCGTTTAATATAAGAGCCATAAAGTAACCAGTGATTATTCAAGGAAATTATTACCGATTATACGCTTTTATTAAGTGATTTTATGTAATCTGTAAATATTTAAAAATAAACGAATTCACATCACAAATTTATTCTGTGATTTTTTAAAATGAAAACCAGCTAATACTTTCAAGTTGTTAAAGTAATTCAGTTAACTTTTTGAAAAAATCCCCTTACTTTAGGAATTAGAAACTGAACTCAACTGTTATTGGCAAGAATTTTTCACTTCATCTATAAATCAAAATAATAGTCATACGGTTGTAAACTATGTTGGTAATACTAATGATATTACTTCTCATAATATTATAAATTCCGACAAGTCGTTTTATAATGGTAATCAGTGTGTTGGATTAAGTAAATGGAATCGAAATATATTATCTTGTCAGTTAGCTAGATGTGCTGCTTGCATCGATGCATTATGTCGTGATCAAATAATTTGGAAAAATTCGTTACAATCAACAAACAGTTCATGTGTTCGTTCTGTTAGGTAAGTAAACATTTTTCTATGTTGTTTGGTATTTTGCATATCTTCTTGGTGATATGGGAATACACTTTCAAATTTTCATATTGTTTAATCACTCATCGAGCTTTAATATTTATGGATCAAGTCTGAGATTATTTTAAATGTCATGTTGAGTGTGATTAAATAATGAAGTTGTTAATTCAACATTTTGTCTTAGGACTGATAATACTGTCTAGTTGTTCAAAATTTCGTTGGTAGTTTTGATTTCGAACCCTTAACCCATTGGCCGAAAGTTATACACTTAAACATTTGTTATGTTCATCAACATTTTCTGTACAAAATGAAGCAGTAGCTCACCAGATTTAAAACTATACTAATAAGTACAACCGTGAAAGGTTTTGATAAATATTTTTCTTCGTAAAATCTCTTGGTTCTCACATTAAAGAATTGTATAAAACTTCGGATCTTGTATTTTAATCTGTTGGGTACAATCTAACACGCTTATGGAACATGATTAGTTGATTTGATTTTATTTAACTCTTCATTCTTACAATATGTATACCGTATTAGTTAAATCAAAATCGGCTGTTAGTTGCTTTCCAAATAAATTAGTTTCCAAAATATGTTAATTGGAGCTAATTTCAAGGATAGTTATCAGTCTGTTGAAAAAAGTTGGTACATATTCATTACATTTACAATCGACTTTAAAAATAGCGAGTAGATTTGCTCGTTGATTCACAGAATATTCTCCTTCTAAGCAGTCAGTTTCTCTGTGGTAACTCCTAAGTTCAGAATTTTACTTGAGTGTTCCTCGAGTGATTTAAAACTTTCACAAAGTATAGACATACCTTATAATCTGGTAGTCAGAATTCACTTTTTGAGTTGAAGGCAGAGACGACATTTAGTTACTGCTAAACAATATTCCTTTTCTTATGAACTGATAACAGTAAGAAGCCTGGGGTCAACAGAACAACCTATAAGATTGAATGTATACTTTTGTCTAAAGTATTTTGTGTTTTAGTGTTTGGACGTTAAAGTTGTGAACTTATTTTTATGACTCAGTGTATCGGGTGTAAAGAAACCTACTCTAATAATATTTTAATAAACAATCTTATATAGTGTATTCCTCCAATTAATAATCTCTTTATCTATGACAGGTTGTGTGGTTTGGAATTGCTAATTTTTTTAAAGAGAAAATCTGTTATTTAAATTAATCATACATGGACAGAAATGTCTTTTTAACAAATAGTTTTGTGCCACGTTTTAGGTTGGTAGTTTACCATGTCAGTTTTATTTGTTTGTATGTATGACCTATATTCTATTTATTGAATTGAATTCAGTTTGAATACTTCATGGTTAACATGTTCCATGTTGTAACTATTTCTTTTTAAAATTCTTTCTTCTAATAGGTATCCAACAAGAAGTCGTCCTCTTCGTTACTTACCTTCACCGGGTGCATTTGTTCATCGTTAATAATATTTATAGATTGTTTTCCACTCATCTCTTATTGTTTGTATAAGTGTACTTAAACGCTTTAGATAGTTTTGTAAATCTTTATTATTATTACTTTTCTGTTAAAAGGAAGGTAATTTTTCCTCATTGTCTAGTTTTCTTTTATATATATATATATAAGCTACAACTTTTGTACTGATAGACTCTAAACTGGATAACATTATTGCATTTTTATAGTAAATCTGAACTAAATATACATTTGTTTGTACATAACATTTTGATGGTAAATGATTGACGTGTCATTTGTTTTTAACAACATTGAAAATGAATGGAAAGTTTAATTTTTTATTCCTACTAGGTGGTTTTTAAATCAATAAACACCCCCCTGTAAAATTTTAAATTCCTTAATAACATTTGTTATTTCAGTTAACTACTTTTTTGTCAACCAAATTAAGAATTTTTCTGTATCTGACCTTTGGAGCTAGATCAAACTGTGAATTTCAGTTTATTCTACATCATAGATTACTTTTTGTATCATTATCAGATGATGGGTTGGTAATGAAATTCATTTAGCTGATTGTTTAAAAAAAACTCCTAAATTCCATCGAATACTACTGTATTGATGTGAGTTGTTTAGTTTGTTTTCAAATCATGATCTATTAAAATGTTCATGAGTGGAGAAAAAGAAAGCCTGGAATTAAAATCAAGATACTCAGAGAACGTTTGTAGAATAAATAACAATTAAATTTTCAGCAATATAATTAGAAGTTAATACAGTTGAGATATTAAAACAAGTTTCTAAAGATGTAGTCAAATGGCGTTTTTGTCAGAATCTCTGCTTTCAATGTTTCTATCTAATTTGATCATAAATATACTTCTAGAAACTAGGTATTATTCATCTCACTTTTTGAAGAGTGATCTCATCAACACTAAGTGTCGAGGTGACAGTTCTTTTTGATGAGAATTTTGGAACAATTCAGGTTTTTTTGGTCTTCAGTAGCAACGCAAGTTTATTTGGGATTCACTTCTGTTCCTCTAAGTTAGAAATGTTGCTTCACGACTGGTTTGTGTCAGTGTTTTACCTTTCGTTATGCAAATTTTTAGTTAAGTGTACTTCCATACGTTTAATTCAATATTTATCTTCTGGACTATATCTATGTTTGGCACTCCACCACAGTTATTATTTTAGTCCCCTTAATTTTCATCACTTCAATTTATTTGCAATATGTAGTAATTTGGACTTCAATGCAGTTGTGCCAGGCCATGAGTTATCTATGACTGACTGACTGTCGGGAATGAATAGACTTATGAGTTTCGATTGTCGTAATAACTATTAATTTTATTGTTGTTAGCACGTCATACAAAGTTTCTTTCATCGGAAATTCATGATTACCATTAGTCGTTATTAATGGAACCAATATTGATATGACCTAGTTGCAAATGACAGTTCCGTGTGTGTTGCAGTGTCCTCTCCCTCTTGAATGGAGTTTGTACTCAGTTGATTTTGTAAGTTCTTGGGTTGTTGCTGCCGCGGAAAAATGAAGAAAAATACCTAAAGACTGTCTTTCAAAAGAACGGCTACCTAATCAAGTTTATCGAAAAAATATCAAACAAAATCCTTAACAGAAACAATCAGATACAGAAACCAACAAACGGATCATCCTAGCATATATAAAAGCCATATCAGAAATTACGAGATCGTTGAAGCTTTTTGAAATAGGTGTAACATACAAATCAAAATCACTTCTATCAATCCCATGCAAAGTAAAGGTCATAATGACAAATTAAGGACACACGAACATCATCTACAAAATAAGTTTTAACTGCGAAAAGCACTACATCAGACAAAGCGGACAGCCTCTTCATCTTCACCTACATTAACATCAATTAGCGGTTAAACGTCATGACGTATCCTCACTTATATCAATGCATGCGGACATACATTCAACTGGAAAAATGTTGAGAGCTTAGAAGGCATACTGAAAGGACCAGGTAATTTTTAGAAGCTTGGCACTCAGGTCAATCAACAAACACATTGAAATCGATCCATTTTACCAAATATAGGACCAAGAATCAAATGAAAGGGAGATACAACCAAAATAAAGAATTGAGCAATGATAGGTTAAAGATCAACAATAATCAGTCAAGGTTTACAAGTTGTGAGTTGTATGTTGAGAAATCCGAACACTTCACTCCTACTTGAAGTTTGTGCTGGTGATGTCGTTCGGAAAAACGATGACAGCTCCAAGACCAAACCATCCAGCTCAGCGAATAAAACCACTTAAATTATTTGACATTTCTAACCATTTGTTTTATCATGTTGTCGATAACGGATCAAATGTCAGGTCAACTATTAGTCCCTTGTTCTATTAGTTTTAGTAGATCTGAGGTTAGTATTGATTTAATGTACAAATTATTTTTAAACTAATCAAAATTTTAGCAACTAAGTCAAGTCAACAAATAAATGTATCCATATTCGGTCTCAACAGTATTTCTTACGCTTTTCAGTGGTTTGTATAGTCTGAAGATATGCGTACTTTCGAACAGACTCAGTGTACCATTGAATAACTGTCTTTTTTTCGTCTAGGGCTCATCAGTAATGCACACTTATAACTTTATACAATTGTTATGCTTATAGAAACCAAACGATTCCTGATTTGAGTGTGATGCACATATCATAGATTAGGAAAGGAAACCAAAGTAATAAATAATCTTTTGTCTTACTAGTTAGTTTTACTAAAGTCATCTTCCATATTTAAAATAATAGTAAGATGACGATATGTTATGGTTAAACGTGTATCTTGAGTGTTTCACAATTTTAACTTAATAAGCAGAAAAATACTTCTAAGAATTCAGACTTTTCCCAAAAAATTTCAATGAATGATTTATAATATGAAAGATTGACTGTTTACGAGTAAGAGCTTAGTGATTATCATTATCATTGAAATCATATATCTTGTCTAAAACAGAGTGTGTATTTGTATTTCATTTAGTACGCTAATCAACTTCTATAAGATCGCATCAACCAGTGATCAATAATTATTGTCATTCATTCTATCTACCTGTTTGTCTTACACATAGAATTATGTTATATGGTGTTATTATATGCACTACAAATTTCGACATTTTAAATAATTTATGGTATTATAAAAAAACCCAGCTTTCTACATTATTATTTTAAATCTCCTGCTATGCATAGGGAATTTGTTTTCTTTTTATCACAGAATTTGAAAAAATCTCGTATAAGGTATTGTCAATAACTGGCAGAATTTCTAAGCAATTAAGGTTTTTCATAAAAAAAAACTAAAGATTTTCCAACTATTAACCGATATTTCGTTGCATTGGTTACCACTGAGAAGTCGAAAACTAGGGCAAAATGACTGTCTTACATTTTATTTCTTTTCATATTATTCTTAGTCCATCTCTCTTTAACGGATGTTATATTGCAATGGAAAATTCAAATGTAAGGAAAATGATACATGGATAATGATAATTTTTGGAGAAAATATAACAATGGAAACACCTAATAAAAAACCAAACTTCTAAACATGAAGGTGTAAACGACCAATATTTGTTTAGGTAAATTCATATCATACTCTACAACTACAAACTCAAATTTAATAATGACATTTTAAGTAACTACATTTTTAATAACAAAGACTATGGGTTTGCCAAGGTGGTCACAAGAATAGTTAGATATTATTAAATTGGCTAAAATCTCTTCTGGAACGATAACCGCTCGCATACCTTCTACCAATTCGATTTTCCACATGACCTTTGCCCTCTAATTGGTCATCATGTTTTTGTAGTTCTCTAAATTGCCACGTGCTAGGTCATATTTTGCTGCCATAGTAACAACATTTATACCAATTTCATCCGGGTTGCTTGTTCTACCACATATATAAAGTTACCTGCAGTTCTGTTTTCTTCCTATCCTAGCCGTTGAAGTTTGATGTGTTGAGTATAGTTGACTGTTGGCAGTTCCGAAGAGAACCTGTTGTATTAGAGAAGCTCACTCGTTTTCGTTCCCAAATCCGCAACATCGTAAGCCGTTCAGAACCCTAATAGCAAAACACAACTGGGTTTAAGGTTATTGAGGAAATCAGTTTGATAACTTTTGTATATGTTAAGAGAAAACGTATATAATGTTTAAATTTTAATTTGTTTGTAGATCAATTAGATGTATCGAATCAAAATTCGGAACAAATTGGAACAAATAATAATGTCAACACTAATCAGCCTTATGCTCGATTAAATACTAGTTTGTAAAACTATATGAAGTACGTGAAAGTAAAATAGAATGAGTGCCAAACAGTTTGTATAAGTGAGTAAGAAAAAAAAGGTATAAAATAATTTTAAAAGTAGAAGCATGGTAACGCTTCATAGAGTACTGTTGTCTAGAAAATATTCTGTTTCTAATGCTTTCGTTTTGTATCCAAAAGTCAAATTTTTTGCTAACAGCTTATTAAATGTCAGAAGATAGTTGAGTTTAAAATTCTGTAAATTTAATTTGTGTGCAACGTGTTAGTAAACTTTTTTGATCGCTTCAAAGTGTACAAACTCATAATGAATACACCGAGTTGATGCAAAATGTTTCATTCAGTTCATTTCATTTACCTAAATTCTCACTCTAGTGTATAATTGACATCTCACATGGAAATCAACATTGGTTTATATAAGGATACACTCATCACAATAATTATTCTTCCATTCTGTTTTAATGCTCCTGAGTTGAAATGCTAATCGGTAAAACGACTACTTCACTAAATCTATTCCCTTAGATATTCGTCGTGCAAATGATAGCATCATTTGATCTAAGGCTGTTTATTGGTTTTATGTTCCTTTTTAAATCAAATTCAACATTCAATTATTGTTAGTTAATCCTGCGTATATCTACACTTTTGTATTTTGTTCAAGTAAATATTCTTGTAGTTTGTTATCGTTTTAGTTTCATTTACTAGCGATAAAAATCACTTGAGAATTGTAATTTCAAACGATTTAGTACATCACTACTATTATCA